CATATTATTTAATATATATATATATATATATATATTAAATTTATATAAACCAAATTATTTCTTTTCCTCTTTAAGCCCTAAATCCCTAACTCATGCACCCGATCCCCAAATCGCTCGCACCCGAGCCCTAGCCCGTCCGCCTCTTCCTCCCACGTCCGCCTCTTCCTCCCGCATTCGCCTCAGCTGACGCTCCCCTTCATCGCGAGAAATCGACCCGAGGTCCCCTCCACGTATGTCTGTCGCTCTGCCTAAAGGTCGTTCCCGGTCACCACGCGCTCTGTCTTCACCTACTCCAGTCACGCTCCAGCTTTCCCCTCCCACGCCTCTGCGATCCTTGTCGTCTTCTTCCACGTCGTGCCACGCGAGCTGCTCCCCTGAGACAAAGCTACGCCACTGTCGTCATCCCCCCCACGCCACTCTTGTCGCTTCTCTCAGCTCGGCTCACTGCCCAGGTGAGTGCAAGTGACTCCTTCCTCCCCCTTTTGCTATAAAAAGGGGGGAGGAATTTGAAACATTGCTTATACTCCAAGTAACTCTCTTTCACATGATATATAATTTAGAATTTGAAGCTCTCTTTCTACATTTAAGCTTCAATACATGTGCTCAATTTTTGAAATGTTGCTTATACATCAACATTAGGATTTATATGGCTCTCTAATCTCTTTCTCATGCTCACATGTGATGGATATGGTTAGCTTTGCGAAATATGCAGCTTTCGAGATTTCTTTTTCTTCCTAAAAAAAAAAAGATCTGTATAGCTTATGAAGTCCTCTTTCTATGTCAAAATGTGAAGTGTGTTCATGACATTTGGAATATCTTTCATGTGCTAAAGTATTGGGATTTATTCATGGCATTGGGAGTCTTCCCTTACATGTGAAAATATGAGATTTCCTTTTAGCTTTTAAAGTATTTTGGTAGGCCAAGAGTTGGCTTTACACATAGTTTTTTGAAGCTTTTCTCATGTGCAAGTTATATGTCTCATACTTGGATTTTTTTTTGAGCCCTTCTTACGTGCAAGCTAATACTTTATGTGTGGCTTTATTTGGAAGCCTTCATCATATGGAATTTTCGGATTTGGGAATGGCTCTACTTGAAACACTCATGGAAAACGTCATATGTGTTTATTTCTTGTGCATTTATATGGCCATTCATATACATAACACCTAAGCTTTATTTTTGTACACTCTCCACCTCTTCTCATACACAAAAGAGGTGTCTATCAATCTATACTTGCCAAAA